ATCATCATTTGTTTGCTATTGTCAAGCTACTCTTAAGTGAACTAACTAGGAAATGAAAGAAAAAGGGATTTAATTGACACCTGACTGGATTCTCTTGTTTTATCTTTGTCAAGATTATCGACTGCTTTTAATACGATTTCTGATAAACCTATCGAGTAGACATGGATCAAATCTGACTTAATACTGGTATAATCTTTCCTTTTTTTCTCTTACAAACATGAACAAAAATGGATTAAGCTAGATGAGTAGTGAACGTTCTTATTGTTTCATAATATTGATATAGTTATGACTACTAACTCATCAACATCTATCGTTCGGTACATGACTCGACAAAAGTTAATACAAAACGTGCAAAGATTACAGACAGAAAACGAAAGCCTTGCAAAAATTATTGGCAAATATCCACCATTTGAATCGATCAATAAACAAAACACTACAAGCAACAAGAGTAAGATCTGAGAAGCATCGACATGAGAAAATTCGATTACAAAGTGCAAAATATTTTGTAGTAACATCAAAATTGATCATAATAAGGGTGTGGATGGGATGTGAGTGCGTCTCTTATCTCACACCCATACCCTAAAATATTACGTTTCGGTGCTATTCGAACAATTTATACCAAGTGCACCTTTCATAACTTATATACATCAATTAGACGTTTATTGCATCTGTTTTCCGTTACATACTTGTCTTGTATGGATTAGCATTAGGTATCATACAGATCGGTGAACGATTTAAAATGTATAAAAAACAAGATTAACCTAAGTTTGCTCATTTATTATTTGCCGACAAAGTTGAAAGTTATATCGTCGAAGTTCTTGGTTTTGCTATTACTATACCAGCAAAAATCATATTTCCAGTCCCTCGACGCTCACGTATCGTTGTCACTATTTTTGCTGTAAAACAAATAATAATTGCCTGTGCACCAATAGAAGTTCTCGATCTTGATCGATTAAAGCAGGTTAGTGCTATCAGAGTTAATTTCACTTGATTTCGATTATTGATCGCTTCAAAGATATTGCCGTAGGAGTATTAACTGAGCCGAACAATTAAATAGTTTACATGTACGGATATGAATTGAGGATGATATTCGCGCATTAATAGTAATGTCATATCAATTTGTCTTTCGATAGTATCATTCAAAACAGTGAATCATGTAAGTCACTTTTCTCTAATTTAAATCAACAATAGATAGATTGAACCGACGTTTGTTTTAATGATATCGACTTGAGCGAATGAAGTTTGAAAAATATTGAGAATTACTGAGACTGTGTAAAAGGAGAGAGATAACGTTTTCTAAAGTCTTTGAACTGATGAGAGTTTATATTTGATTGCTTTTAATTAACTGAAGTAAGTTGAATCATTTGTTAAATTTAACCGCTTAACTCTTGTTCAATAATGATAGATATAGTAATCGGTGATAAACTCGAATAAAATATATCAAGAATTTGTATATTGCAGAAATGAAATTACTTATTTTAATTCACTTTTTCAGTAGAATCTTGATGAATGGAAAACAGTTTTCAGCTACGTTGATTATTCTCTTAGAAGGTTGTTTCACCGACGTGATTTTAAATATACTCCATTCACTTCAACTCTTATAGTCATGAAGCAATGAATTATGAGTAAACCATTCGTCAAAATTTATTTTAAATGTTTCTTGAGTGATTTTTTCTTTATGATATACTTGTCAAACCACTATATGTCCTATACAATCTATCTTTTCATTTTCTAGATCGACGAAGAAGAAGAGGCCGCAGATGTTATAAATCATGATAATGAATAATCAACAAACAATAACAAAACTTTTCATTTTTTTATTGTTAACAGTTGTTTTCTTTCATCTGAAATCAAAACGTTATTGATTCGAACAAAAAAAGGATCTGATTTATTTGTTTTTTCTTCATGAAAAACTTATCCATATTTTTCAGAACCAACGAAGTAATCAACCGTCAGAGATACCATCTTGAGGGTGGGTTTGGATGTGAGTGTAGCTGAGAGAATAGAATTTACCCATCGACACCTACACCCACAACCAGACTTTAATCTCTATAGTTATAGAATAAAGAAAAGTTTATGACTGAACAAACATTTTTTTCTATGTAGATAAATAGAAAAAATGGATTTTATAGCAATATTAAGGATAAAGAACTGTTTTACTACCAACACATGTGGCCACTTTATGACATTGATAACAATGAGATTGATATATAAAAGCACATACTCGTGCATACACTGTTTTTTTATTATATATACTAGTCTTTTGTAAGAAAACTAAAGATGATAGAAGGTAGAAGTCTCATAGAAATAAAAATCTTTCTTCATTATTGTCTTCATGTCTATTTTTGAAGAATAAAAAATGTCATCGTTCTTTATCTTTTGAGTAGTGATTTTGTAAAATCTGGTTGTCATCCCAACTCATCGATGACTGTAAAAACACCAGAAGAAAAGTTGGGTTGACTAGGATAGATTTGGGTATTCTTTCTTCATTCACCTACACCCACACACATACCCACCTATTTTCTCGGTTTTACACGAAGAAAGACATATTTTTCAGATATATTCGTCATTCAAAGCAATGTCAACATTTATTAGCGACAGAAATACGCTTGTCTGGCCAGCAGAAGGTGCGGAACACTACTTTCGTGACCTTGTCATCCACCCACTCCATCAAGAAGGTCCCACCTGTGTGTCCACTTGTCTGGCCATGCTCACCGGCACGAAACCCGAAAACTTTCAAGGCAGCATAAATACACAAGATCCTGTTTCCTGGTCAGCTGCCCTGCAGCCATATGGAATGAAATTAGCCTATTGTCCTCATGATGCGCGCAAACTCAAGTTTTACATCAAAGAACTGATCGCCTTAGATGACCTATTCGCCCTCAGCTTCTATATCACTACAGATCCAAATCAAATTCTAGCCAATCCAGATGAAACTGGCTTTGTTACTCAATCGCATTTTATATTGCTACATCGGGACAAGATCTATGATTCAAACCGTTTTGAATGCGTACTAGCACGTGATCATCGCTGTCTCAACTATCACACCAAGCGCATTTTTCGAGTTTTACCCGTCACACATGCTCGTGGCCTTTGAGCTTCGGCAGTTTACATGAGAATGAGGAAAAGACAAGACGTTTCACGCCTTTTTTTAAATTATTCTTTCATTAAAATATAATCTATTCAGCTTACAAGAAACTAGTGATGCTTTGTCATGCAAAAAAAGGATGGGTGTGGGTGCGTATGAGATTTTCTCTTTTGCCCATGATCCTTACCGACATCCACACCCACACCCTTAAGAATTTCTCTTATAAAACAAATTCCAACGGCTTTAAAAAATATAGTTATTTGTGGTAGGTAAAAAGAAGATATATTGCTCGTATTTACACTCTTATACATATCGTTAATAAAAAATTCTTCATTTCTCGATTATTAAAAGTATTTCAAGACAAAAATATTTGATATGAAAAAACTTAGAAATGAAACACAGAATTGTAATATCATACTCATGTAAAAAAAATATTATTTAAAGATAAGAGTGTAGCAATATTTCTAACGCTAGACATTTTTATCTTTTGTTCGTTCTGTAAGAGTAGCAAATATGAAAAAAAAAAAATTCCCTAGATTGATTCATATTTTTTTTTTGAGTTTCAGTTTCTTATAATAGATAAGTTAGTATGCATAATAACCAAATTTTCAGTGAATATTCGAATGAAAATAACAGATCGCGTAAATGGTGGCACCGACGTTGGTTTAAGTTTGTTTGCATCTCTGTGATCATTATAACAATATTTGCAGTTATCCTCTCTGGGGTATTAATATCTGTCGGTGTTTCATCGAAGAAATCAGAGAATGCTACTACTATTACAATATCATCATCACTGACAACAATAATGAAAACAACAACGTTATCACAGTCAACAGTAATAATAACACTATCAACAGAAGCAACGACTATAACTACTACTCAGAATTTAGGTAAAGTTTTTAAGTAATACTTTTTGACTTTTCAAATGTTACGACTAGTACGAATAGATGTAAGTATTTCACATCAAAAGAATCAATGAACTTGTCATAAACGATTCAATTATTAATTCGAATAAGAAATAGAATAATATGATTTCTGTACTCGTCTTTTTTTTCTCAATATCAAATTTTACTTGATTCTTATATATCATTCTATATTGGTTGAAAAACGTCACAGTTGAGTATCAACCACAATTTATCCATGTGAAAACATCGTTTTTAAACTTATTCATCGATTCTTTCATTTTACTCGAAAAAATTGAAACATCTTATATCTTCTTAACCTCACAAGTTTCATGTATGAAGTTCTAGTCAATAAAAGTCATATATATGTTACAGTCAAAATTAGACTCAAAATGAGTTAAACTAGTTAGAGATATTTAAAGTTTTTGCAAAAACAGAGCTTAGTTCCAAAATTTAGATATCAATTTTGCTTTTATCAAACAACTTACTATATCTACTTCCTTTTTCTAATTAATTGAATCATATTTTCACACTATCTCATTTTAGAGTGACACGTAGTGAAACTAAAAATCTTCAACTTTTTTTATATAAATATCGTTTAAAAAACATTTGCCTTCGCTTGTCGATCCATCGACATACAGCAGCTCATACATTTCAATTAGTGTAATATTTTGTGCCATATACGACTAGTTACTTTTATTCTTAAGAACAAACTGATTCTAAATTGATTCGAACTTTAATTAAGAAAGTATTAGAATCAATATATGTATATCTAGTTTTTAAAAAAATGAACATGTTACTATTATTAATATGAATATATATTATATTTGTCATGCTTTGATGATACCATATGCATGTACTAATCTATATATGATTAGTCGTATGGAAGATCTAGACTATTTTACTCATTTCTTTTGTTCTTTCTGAAAACTAGAACAATGATTTATTTTCATATCTTAACTTTTAGTCCAACTTGAATAAACTTTATTATAATATAAGAAATATTTCAAATGAATACATTGAAATATTTTCATTTAGGATGGATTAATAGTAGTAATATGAATTATCCACGATATAGACATACAGCATCAATATTACCAGGAGGAAAAATATTAGTTGCTGGTGGATTAGATGATAATAGCGCTATAAATACTGTCGAATTATATGATCCATCAATAAAAACTTGGACAACAACTAGTAACATGATTGATAAACGATGGGAGCATACAGCATCGATATTGACAAATGGAAAAGTATTAATTACTGGTGGCTATAATAATGCTGCTCTAAAAAGTACTGAGTTGTATGATATATCAAAGGGAACGTGGAGATATACTACCAATATGAATCATGCAAGATATTATCACACAGCATCTGTATTACCAAATGGAAAAGTATTAGTTACGGGTGGATCTATTGGTGGTATTCCAAATAGTGCTGAGTTGTATGATTCATCATTAGAAACATGGACATCTACTAGTAATATGTATAATGGAAGATATTATCACACAGCATCGATATTGACAAATGGAAAAGTATTAGTTACTGGTGGATATAACACTGGTGGTGCTCTTAACAGTACAGAATTATATGATTCATCAGTAGGAACTTGGAAAATTACTGGTAGTATGCATAATGCTAGATATTATCATA